CCCGTCGGGGCCCGTGTCTGTGGCTTCTGCTTGGACCAACAACCGGGCCGCAACATCCGTGGTCGACTTGCAAGTGCCCAAGGCGATATAGGACCTCCCCAGACGACTGGCCCAACTTCGAGCCCAGTCCAGACGCGCCTTACCCCATAACCGATACAAAGAGTTGAGTAAGGCGATCGGCCTGTATCCACCTGATGGTTTGGCCAATCGCACAATATGAACGTGTCGTAGGATGCGAGGCCAGATGCCCCATGTTTCGCACAGGTGGAGAATGTATCCTAGTAGGGATAAGGCTCCATTACTTGCTAGATGCCAGTGTCGGGGTCGAAACTGGTCTGCGCCTACGGCTGTAGTCGATGGGAACCTCAGGGCGGCCTTCCGAAGGTCCATGATCTTCAGGGGGGGGGGGGGGTACCTGGGTCCTTGATCCAGTAGCTCCCCAAGAAGAAGTCCCTCAGCTTCGCCCGTGGCGCTTCCAGGACCTCCAGATGAGCCGTCTGATGGCCCTTCAGCGCCCTCCCAAATTTTTGGCCAGAAACTACACAGCGATTCAGCGATATCCCTCGGACAACTGGAAAGACCGCTGGCTGTGCGGACCGTAGAAAGCTGCCAGCCCTTCGGTTTGGTCCACCGATGCACAGCCCCAGGAGTGGTCTTGAGTGACTCACGCACCCACTTTTTGAAAGACTGTGCTCGCGCATTTGCGAGGCGTCGCTCGTCTCGCTGAGCGATCTCACCGAGGAAGTCACTCACGAACCGCAGCATGCAGGGATACATACGTCCGGGCTGCGCCGTGATGCACGTGAGCATGTGAATGATAATGTGAACGATATGCGGGTTGATGTGCTTCCGAAGACGACCATCCCGACCCCGTCCACCCATGAAGTCAGACAAGTGATTCCATGCCCGCGCGCACGCTTGCATATTGTGCTTCTCGTGCTGAAGGTGAAGATCATTCACGTGTGCCTGTAGTATGCGCAGCGCACGCGTCTGCTGTGTCCCTGCAGGCTGCTGACGGCTGAGAGCACCTCCTGCTGTTGTATACGCATAGTGCGGGCCATTGGCACGGCCACAAAACGCTGCATCTGGCTGCTCTGCGTGGAAAAGCGGCGCGAGCTCACGTTCCACTCCTTCATAGAGGGCGGCCGTGAGGTCCTGCAAGCGCTGAGCACGGGTGGTAGCATCTCCATGCCCTTTCTCGGAATCACCCCGCATGAGGTTGATCCAGTCCACGCTGGAATGACCACGCTGAGAATAATACGGCTCATCATCAGCATCCACCTGTTCACCAGGTGCCGTGGTGGGCTTCGGCGGGAAGACAGCTGGCCCTTGCAGTCGGCAAAGCTGCTGACCACGAGGGTGCGGCCCAAGTGGAACTGCCATAGGGAAATGTTGCCTTGCGGGAAACTCGGGAAACCTTCCCACTCGAGTCGGCTGCTGTAGCACCGTCGTGAGGAAGTCGGAGACCATCCAGTAGTCCAGAGTAGATAAGTTCCCAGTGGCAGGGTCCTTGTAGGTTCCTTGCTTCCCTGCATGAATCGCTGCCCGTAGTCGCAATGGATAGTCGGAGTTGACCATGGCGTCGGGTGGGACATTCCAATCTCCTGCCACCGCGAACGGCATCGCATAGTAACTGAGGAGTGCGCCGAGCTGCGCGAGCCGTGCCGTGTTACGTCCTCCGAGCCGCTGACCTTGTTCCAAGTGCAGTGATGCCGCGAGGAAACCACCCCGCATGCCCGCCTGCACAATCACACCAACTGCATATCCTGGAATAATCGCGTGTCCTCGAACCATCCCTTCCAGCGGGATCACATGAATATTCTTGCGGGCGAAGAGACCAACGCCTGCAGTGAAGTGACCCGTATCTGTCGGGATAGCGTCTGGGATGAACGGTTGCCAGCCGTTCCTCACGCACCATTCTTCAGCAATCAGTCGGCGAGACCCATGTAAATGTAGCTCCTGGGCGGCGACGATGGAGTAGCCGCGAGTGGTCTGCAGGAAGTCTTGAAGCTGCGGCCATCCTGAGCTGCTGAATGTAACCATACGTAGGTCGGCAGTCCGCTCCGGCGCTCTGTGCCGCAGCCTGCCTGGTCCAGCAGCGTGGCGAACAAACACCTCCCTGTTAGCCTGCGAGTTACATACCGCACCCGCACCCTCCTCTGGCCGACCACTGGCAAGCAGAGGAGGCGAAGCCAGAGGCTTCTGTTCGGACTTGTCACCGACGCTCACAGACGGGATTGAGGATTCCCTTTGCGTCCCATTCGAGCTGCAGGCTGCGGTGTCTTGCATTGACTCTCTTGCCTCCATCTCATTGTCAATCGATCCCAAGTGCATCCGTGCTTCCCACGTCGCAAAGTCGATACCCGCCAAAACTGTGGTACTGTCACATCCCTGAGGTAGCTGAGCAACTGCATGGGGGTAGCAAACGTTGCGCGCCCCTGCTGCAGGCAAAACTGCTCGCGCTCCAGGTTGTGGGAACCGCTGTGGGCCAAAACCGCCATAAGGATGACTGCGTCCAGTCGGCCCCACAAGTAGTATGCTTCCATCCGCGCGCTGTCGCGGCATAGTGTTAGCGAGCTCGACAACACCGTTGTGTGCCGAGATCGCCAGGCAATCAATGTCACTATCAGCGTCACGTGCCGTCACGCTGGCCCAGGTTCATATCCCGATCTTCGGAGGGGACCTGCGCGTCCCATGCTGTGGGTGTGCCTGGTGCTGGTACTGTGTATGCCACTGTAGCCACTGATGAGGATGGCAGTGCCCGTTGTCTTGCGAACGCTGCACGTAGTTCCTGGAACTGCTTCGAGAGCGACTCAATGTACGTGGCCTCATTGCCAGCGGTGACACTGCTTGCGGCCTGCACAATCCGCCCAAGACGCTCCATTGACTCGTCCATCTCACCATGTGATGCAGCTCCAGTGCTGACAGGAGTCGCCGTGCCCGAGGTAGCCAGTACAGCAGCTCGTGCAACCTGAACTTCTGAAGTGATGGCGCCCAGCTCATCCTTGGCGACATTGAGCTCGGCAGCTTTGGTGGCGAATGCCTGCTCCAGCTCTGCCACGGCCGCCGTAAGGGTCTCGACCTCCCGCGTCTTCTGCTGCTGTCGGTCAGATGCCCTGCGCAGCTGATCGTCGGGCGTGCGACTGGCACGCTCCACTTCCTCCGCCTCATGTAACGCCCGCTTGTCGTCCACCAGGAAGCTGGAGGACTCGTCGATGCCGAGCCTCTTGAGCGCTGATACGGCCTTTCGGGCCCGTGGTACCGCATCTGTAGACGTCTGCTCGTCAGGCTCAGCATCTGCATGGGAGCGTTCCCTTCTGGTGCTGTTGCCTCCACGCGGCCTGCTGCCTGCACGCCGAGGAGCTGGTGAGCGACCAGGTCGACGTTCAGGAGGGCCAGCTGGGTCTGGTTTCCCTGCACGGTCCCTGCCGCACTGGTAGCACCGACTGTTGCTGGCGAAGTTCTTCTGGTACCCGCATTGGCGAGTAGCAGCGCAAGCCCAACGAGGCTCCAGTTGAACCACATCCTTGGACTTAGCCGAACGACCTGCCATGCACGATCCTGGCGGCTGCGAGCCGTGATGTCCTGCCAGGAGCGTTCGTGCCTCTTCAACTCGTAGCAGGTGTCGTGCTGAGGCCCTCGCTCTGCGCAGCCTCCTATGCCACGATGGGGACGGCGTACGCCGTCTCCTGCCGAGCGTCCTGTCCGCTGCCTCACAGCGCCGCTCGCGGAGAGCAGCCCAGGGCACGGCAGCGCGGCGGACGCCGCAGCGCAGGGGCCGATCGCGCGCGCGCGGGCGCCCTGCTGGGGGTGGGGACCCTCGACCCCTTGGAGGAGGAGGAGGAGGAGGAGGAGGAGGAGGAGGAGGAGGAGGAGGAGGAGGAGGAGGATAAGACGGGGAGGGGATGGGGAGAAGGAGGAGGAAGAGGAGGGGCAGGAGGCGGAGGAAGGACAGAGAGAGGAGGAAGAGGTTAGACCTGACAGAGACCATGCCCAAGCGCGTGGCCAGCTTGACAAGGAGCATTCGCCTACTACGGGGACTCAAACGGAGTCGCCCGAGTCGCTGGCTTCGGGAAGGCCAACAAACTCATCCCAGAAGGTCGTAACGGCCTGGGTGCCAAGAAGCTACGTGCGCTCTTGCCCCGACTCCCCTCCTCAACCTCCGACAGAGAGAGAACGATAGACAAGGGAGAGAGAGAGAGAGAGAGAGAGAGAGAGAGCGAGAGAGCGAGAGAGAGAGAGAGAGAACACCGGCAACGGTGACAACTGAGCGGGCACCTTTCTCGCGCGCAGCAACACTGGCGGACCAAGGAAAGCGCAATGCTTAGGGTGGCAACTTCTCGACAGATTCTGGAGGCGGTGCAAGCGCTAATATGTGATCATGCCGCCAAGACGACGGTTGGTCGGCAATGATTGCTCCGAGAGGCCTCTGGCGTGCTGATCAGCCTAAGCCTCACATATCGAACATACATACATAGAACCCGCACGATGAAGCGTGTGCTGCCCATCAACACTCGTGCATTTGAGCTTACGCATGACCGATCGCGAACGAGACCAGATCATATAACAAGCCGCCCATGCTGCCGAGAGATAGTAGGGTTAAACGTGAAATGGGGCCTCGGGGGCTCAAGGCCCCCCTCGATGGTGCCGATGCCCCTACTAAGGGCCTGAGGCTTGGCATCCGCGGAAGCTTCCAAGCCTTGAATTACGAGAGGTTATCCGATTTCAGAAGAAAGAGGATGAGGAGGAGGAGGAGGCGGCGGAGGAGGAGGAGGAGGAGGAGGAGGAGGCGGAGAAGTAGGAGGAGGAGCAGGAGGAGCAGTATGGAGGTGGGAGAAAGAGAGAAAGAGAGAGAGAGAGAGAGAGAGAGAAAGAGAGAAAGAGAACGAGAGAGAAAGGCAGGATGGTTAGGCGGAGGGGGAGAAGGATGATAGAGAGGAACAGGGGATGGAACCTCGATCATCCCCTCCCCCTCCCCCCGAGGCGAACGCGTTGCCCGCCTCTGCGCCTCCGCGCCCGAGGCGCTCTGGCGCACGAGCTCCGCGTAGGAGCCCCTGCGCTCGTCCTCGTTGGGCTCGCCCTCGCGGCGGGACTCGGTACTCTTCACCAAACAGCTTGTCTGTATCGGAGGAGGGCCCATCGAGACAACGGCGGCCCTCCCTTGCATTTTTCGCCACGCATCGGAAAATGGGACAGGAATGACCCCAGGAGGGCTCCAGGGGCCGATTTTGAGCGGCTTTGGGCTGGGCGGGGACGTCGCCGTTGGTCTCAACCTTGCGGAGGGATTCTGCCGACCATAAACAAAGTGTCTGTAAAAACTCCCAAAACTTTTGGCGCTGCAAACTTTTCACACCGGGCACTATCGCCCGGATTCGGGCGCCGGGACGCTCACAGATCGATCCGGCTCGACACGTGCTGCAGAAAGATGGGGTCCAGGGCTCAGGTCGCGATGCTTCTCACGCTGTTGATTTTTTCGTGGCGTCGGATCTCAGGGTACATTTATATAAATATGTATATCTACGCACTGTTTGTCTTCAAGGTCCTGGCGAGGGAGTACAGGCCCCACGGAATCGGCGTCCCATCGTAGTCCCTCAGCGTCGGCCCCCCATCTCGCCATCGCTCGGACGTCAATCCCCCGTGCATTTTTCGGCTTCGTGCGTGTATTTTCCTGCAAGAGGGCCAAATAATGCTCCTCGATGCTTCCTGCCAAATAAACAAACACACACACACGCACACGCACACGCACACGCACACACACAGACACACACACAGACACACACGCACAGACACACACACACAGACACACACACACACAGACACACACACAGACACACACACAGACACACACACAGACACACACAGACACACACAGACACACACACAGACACACACACACAGACACACACACAGACACACACAGACACACACACAGACACACACACAGACACACACACACAGACACACTAACACACAGACACACACAGACACACACACACACACAGACACACACACAGACACACAGACACACACAGACACACACAGACACACACACAGACACACACACAGACAGACACACACAGACACACACACAGACACAGACACTGACACACACAGACACACACAGACACACACAGACACACACACACAGAAACACACACACAGAAACACACACACAGACACACACACAGACACGCACACAGGCACACACAGACACACACACAGACAGACACACACACAGACACACACACACACAGACACACACACACAGACAGACACACACACAGACAGACACACACACACAGACACACACACAGACACACACAGACAGACACACACACACAAACAGACACACACACACAGACAGACACACACACACACAAGCACACACACAGGCACACACACACAGACACACACACAGACACACACACAGAGACACACACACAGACACACACAGACACACACACGCACAGACGCACACACAGACACAGACGCAGACGCACACACACAGAGACACACACACAGACACGCACACAGGCACTCACACACAGACACACACACAGACACACACACACAGGCACACACACAGACACTCACACACAGACACACACACAGACACACACACAGGCACACACACAGACACACACACAGACACACACACAGACACACACACACACAGACACACACACACACACGCAACACAGAACACACAGACACATACACAGAAACACACAGACACACACAGACACACACACAGTCACACACACAGACACACACACACACACACACTGAAACACACACAGACACACACAGACACACACACGACACACGCAGACACACACCGACACACCACAGAGACACACACCAGACACAGACACAACACAGACACACACACAGAGACACCACACACAGGCACACACAGACACACACAGACACACCCAGACACACACAAGACACAAACACAGACACACACACACACACACACACAGACACACACACAGAGAGACACACACAGACACACACACACACAGACACAGACACACAGACACACACACAGACACACACACACAGACACACACACATACTCACACAGAGACACACACAGAGACACACACAGAGAGACACACACAGAGACACACACACAGAGACACACACAGAGAGACACACACAGAGACACACACAGAGACACACACAGAGAGACACACACACAGAGAGACGCACACAGACAGGCACACACACAGACACACACACAGAGACACACACAGACACACACAGAGACACACACACACAAAGACACACAGAGAGAGACACACACACAGAGACACACACCCAGAGACACACACACAGAGACACACACACAGAGACCCACACACAGACACACACACAGAGACACACACACAGACACACACACACAGAGACACACACACACAGACACACACACAGAGACACACACAAAGAGAGACACACACAGACACACACACACAGACAGACACACACACACAAAGACACACACAGAGACACACACACAGAGACACACACACAGACACACACAGAGACACACACACAGAGACACACCCACACAGAGACACACACAGACACAGAGACACACACAGAGACACACACACAGACAGACACACACACAGACAGACACACACAGAGACACACACACAGCGACACACACGCAGACACACACACAGACACACACACAAACACAAACGCAGACACACACACAATCAGACACACACAGACACACACACAGACACACACACACACAGACACACACATACCGACATACACACACACTGACACACACACAAACAAACACAGAGACACACACAGACACACACACAGACACACACACAGCCACACATACACACAGACACACAAAGACACACACACAGACACACACACACAGACACACACAGCCACACACACACAGACACACACACGGACAGACACACACACAGACAGACACACACACACACAGACAGACACACACACACAGACAGACACACACACAGACACACACACACAGACACACACACACACACACACACACGACACACACAGAGACACACACACAGACACACGCACAGACACACACACAGACACACACACAGGCACACACAGACACACACACACAGACACACCCAGACACACACACACAGACACACATACACACACAAAGACACACGCGCACAGACATACACACAGACACACACACACACAGACACACACACACAGACACACACACAGGCACACACACAGACACACACACAGACACACACACACAGACACACACACACAGACACACACACACAGACACACACAAACACACAGACACACACACGGACACACACACAGACACACACACAGACACACACACAGACGCACACAGACACATTCACAAACACACAGACACACACAGACACACAGACAGACACACACGCACAGACACACACACACAGACACACACACAGACACACACACAGACACACACACAGACACACACACTGAGACACAGACAGACACACACACACACAGATGCACACACACAGACACACAAACAGACACAGACACAGACACAGACACACACACAGACACACACACAGACACACACACAAACAGACACACAGACGGTCACACACAGACACACACACAGACACACACACACAGAGACACACACACAGACACACACACACAGACACACACAGACACACACACAGACACACACACAGACACACACACAGACACACACACTGACACACACACACACAGACACACACAGAGAGACACACACAGAGACACACACACAGAGACACAGACGGAGACACACACAGAGACACACACAGAGACACACACAGAGACACACACAGACACACACACACACACAGAGACACACACAGAGACACACACACAGAGACACACACAGAGACACACACACAGACACACGCAGAGACACACACAGAGACACACACAGCGACACACACAGACACACACAGACACACACACACAGAAACATACACAGACACACCCAACACCACACACACCAACAACACAAACCAACACCACACACACCAACACCACACACACCAACACCACACACACCAACACCACACACACCAACACCACACACACACACCAACACCACACACGCCAACACTACACACACCAACGCACACACACACGCACACACGCACACACGCACACACGCACACACGCACACACGCCCACACGCACACACGCACACACGCACACCCGCACACCCGCACACACGCACACGCGCACACGCGCACACGCGCACACGCGCACACGCGCACACGCGCACACGCGCACACGCGCACACGCGGCACACGCGCACACGCGCACGCGCGCACACGCGCACACGCGCACACGCGCACACGCGCACACGCGCACACGCGCACACGCGCACACGCGCACACGCGCACACGCGCACACGCGCACACGCGCACACGCGCACACACGCGCACACGCGCACACGCGCACACGCGCACACGCGCACGCGCACACGCGCGCACACGCGCACACGCGCACACGCGCACACGCGCACACGCGCACACGCGCACACGCGCACACGCGCACACGCGCACACGCGCACACGCGCACACGCGCACACGCGCACACGCGCACACGCGCACACGCGCACACGCGCACACGCGCACACCCGCACACCCGCACACCCGCACACCCGCACACACGCACACACGCACACACGCACACACGCACACACGCACACGCGCACACGCGCACACGCGCACACACGCGCACAAACGCGCGCACACGCGCACCGCACACGCGCACCGCACACCTGCACCGCACACGCGCACCGCACACGCGCACCGCACACGCGCACACACGCGCACACGCGCACACGCGCACACGCGCACACACGCGCACACGCGCACACGCGCACACGCGCGCACGCGCACGCGCACGCGCACGCGCACGCGCACGCGCACGCGCACGCGCACACGCACACGCACACGCACACGCACACGCACACGCACACGCACACGCACACGCACACGCACACGCACACGCACACGCACACGCACACACACAACACACACACACACAACACACACACACACAACACACACAACACACACACACACGTCCGAGCGATGCCAAGCCATGGCCGTGCCCCCCCCCTATCGTCGTGGCAAAACTGTTCAGGGTCTTCTGCCGCACGGGCGTCACTTGTTTTCCCGCGCGACTCCCGTGCGCTTCTTGGACGGTGTCCCAGTCTGCTCTCGGCTATCGCGGTTTCAATAACTTCGCAAGCTCTCGGCAGCCTCTGTCGACCCCCAGTAGCATCTGCTGACCCCCAAAATAGCACCTGCTGTGTACTCCTCTCCTCGTCTTTCTTAGGCATTAGCAGCTTGGCCTCGCCCACGCCAATCTCGGCGGTGGACAAACCTCCCTTAGGTAAACCTCCCCTTAGTGAAAACGGCCCGCAAAAATGACGCCCGCGACGCCCTCTCGCGAACCGAACACGGCCAATTCGCTAATCGACGCGTCAGGGTAGGAGGTCTGTCCACCCCCGACAGCTCGGGCCTCTGGCAGCCGTTCGGGATCGCGGGAGAGCTCTCGACGAGGCGCAGCTGCCGGAAGGCGTCCCGAGGCGAGGAGGCCTCCAGGGCCGAGCAGATCCTCCAGCGGCCAACGAATGCCCCTTCCCGTCTTCGGCGCCGTCGCCGACACCGCCAAGCTGCCAACACGTCTGGAAGCCCAGCAAGGCCAGGCGCTCGCCCCTGCAGCAAGAGAGGCACGAGAACGGCGCCCGCGCACCGCGCCACGTTCTTGGCCTCCCTTCGGGCCCGCAAGAAAAAAGTCAAACAATAATACGGGGATGGTTTTTTGCTGTTATGTTTGAGCATGTTGGGGGTATTTGGGGGGGTATTTTTTATTTTCCCTCCAATGTCCCCCTGTAGGGGGACTCGCCCGACCTAACGGTAGGGTGCACACGTTCTAGGCTCTACGGGCATCGTACCGTTCGCCTGGGTCGAGGATCGACGGCGCCTCGGGTGACGCCAGCGCGGTAGGGTGCACACAGATCGTCTGCGGAGGATGAGGATGTGTCGCCATTGCCGCGCGGCCCCCTTGCCCAAGGGGCGTCGAAACCTCCTGGCGGCGCGCGCAAGGGGGCGCAGGGGGGCGGAGGGCGGCGGCCTTGTAAGAAGGCGGGGGGGCTTCTGAAAGGCAGGGGACTTCTGAGAAGCCCTCTAGGAAGGTCGCTCAGGAGCTCTCAGGCCTTTCTAAGAACCCCTCCGTCTTCTCAGAAGGCTGCCCCCATCGCACCCCCCCTTTGCGCGCACCGGCCCTCTGGAGCCCTCCACGGTCCCAACGGAAAACTGCTCGGGATGGAGAGCTGATCCTGGCGAGGGCCTGGGGTCTGAAGACTCGTTTCATGTCGTCGGCATCCCCGTCTTGTAGAATCTAAACAAGAATCAGAAACCCAGGAGGCGAGCCAGAGCGTGGGTGGCCCGAAGAGGCGGATGGGTTAATCAGAAGTAAGAGAGAGAGAGAGAGAGAGAGACAGAGAGAGGGAGAGAGAGAGAGAGAGAGAGAAAGAAAGAAAGGGAGAGAGAGAGAGAGAGAGCGCGAGGCGACTAAATCATATACACGACAACAGATCACATAAGCGGAGAAGAGGCCAGATGGATGAGGAGGAGATGGGCGCTCCCACAAGCTGGTTTGAATTTGATCAGCGACGAAGGAGGATTCATTTCGAACTTCGATTCGGATCAGTGATCGAGGAGCTGTTTCTGAAACGCAGACCTTTTTGTTGAACCATGGCGGAAGGCACTTCGAGGTCCCCCACGGGTGTCCAATTAGCACGCGGGCTGGATTGGGTCCAACAACAATGATTGCTGGATCCCCTCATACAGTCGGCCCGTATCATAAGGAGACGCGATCAGGATGCAAGGCCCTTGGGCGCCCATTCCGAAGCTTTTCGAGCGGGGCGCGGCCAACGCAAGTGGCCAAGGATGGGCCGAGGAGGGAAGGATGCAAGCGCACCCTTGGGAAGGTTGTCCATCCTTACTACGCGGGGCGCTCTCGCCCCAGTTCCCTCCGCGCCCGACCGCTTCGGGGGCCGCCTCCTCTCTGCGTGCACTTCGCTCTCCTCCTGCTCCTCCTCCTCCTCCCCCTGCCCCTCCCCCTCCTCCTCCTCCTCCTCCTCCTCCTCCTCCTCCTGCTCCTGCTCCTCCTCCTCCTCCTCCTCCTCCTCCTCCTCCTCCTCCTCCTCCTCTCCTCCTCCTCCTCCTCCTCCTCCTCCTCCTCCTCCTCTCTCCTCTCTCTCCCTCCTCCTCCTCCCCCATCTCCTCCTCCCCTCCTCTCCTCCTCCTCCTCCTCCTCCTCCTCCTTCCTCCTCCTCCTCCTCCTCCTCCTCCTCCTCCCCCTCTCCCTCCTCCTCCTCTCCTCCTCCTCCTCCTCCTCCTCCTCCTCCTCCTCCTCCTCCTCCTCCTCCTCCTCCTCCTCCTCCTCCTCCTCCTCCTCCTCCTCCTCCTCCTCTCCTCCTCCTCCTCCTCCTCCTCCTCCTCCTCCTCCTACCTCCTCCTCCTCCTCCTCCTCCTCCTCCTCCTCCTCCTCCTCCTCCTCCTCCTCCTCCTCCTCCTCCTCCTCCTCCTCCTCCTCCTCCTCCCCCCTCCCCCTCCCCCTCCTCCTCCTCCTCCCCCTTCTCCTCCCACTCGTCGTCGCCGTCGTGCAGGCATATTGAAATGATAGAGGCCTCCTAGATGGAATCGGAGCAGATGGGGTCGGAGGATCGTGTCGCAACGGCGATGCATCGGCGACGTTGGCGATGCATCGGCGACGTCGGCGTGGAGAAAATCGAGATCCGCATCGAACCGCATCGCCGATGGCATCGGCGGTGCGGCGCGATCCTCTGGCCCCATCTACTCGGACCCCATCTAGAAGGCCTACAGTCAACCCGTATCATGAGGATGCGCGGTAATTAAGGATGCAAGGGCCTTGCAGGCCCATGTGAATTAACGTTTTCCGAACGAGGCTGGCCAGCGAGAGTCGCTGAGGATGGGCCGACGTGGCAGGGATTCAGGGGTAACTACTCTTGGGAAGGCTGCCGATCCTTACTATGCGGGCTGCCTGTAAAGACCCCTGCCGGGGTCCCAACGGGCCCGTCTCCTGGCGCGGATCCAGCCGTGGAGACGAGGAGTCTCCGGGAGGCCCCCCAAATAGGGACGACGGCCGCCCGGGGAGACGGCTCCCGAGGGCCACGGGTCCCTGGCAGGCCTGGGCCCGGGAGGGCCCTCCCCGGGGACCAAGATATCCTCGCCCTGAGCCGTTGCGTTGGCAGCCCCCTTGGGCCCACGAAGGCCCTCCCGAGCCAAAGAACGACGGATCACCTCGGGGCCCGTTGTCCCGAGTGGCCTTCGGGTGACAACTTCGGCGGTGGACAACCTCCCTTCAATGAAAACGGCCTGGAACCGAAACCGACGGACCTGGACCCGCAAAAATGACGCCCGCGACGCCCTCTCGCGAACCGAACACGGCCAATTCGCTAATCGACGCGTCAGGGTAGGAGGTCTGTCCACCCCCGACAGCTCGGGCCTCCGGCAGCCGTTCGGGATGAGCTGGCCTCCCCCGCGGGAGAGCTCTCGACGAGGCGCAGCTGCCGGAAGGCGTCCCGAGGCGAGGATGCCTCCAGGGCCGAGCAGATCCTCCAACGGCCAACGAATGCCCCTTCCCGTCTTCGGCGCCGTCGCCGACACCGCGCCTGCGGGGGCAGCAAGCGACCACACCGACATCGAGGACACACCCTGGGGGAATGTCTTACGCATGCCAGCATTTGTCATACCACCGAAACCAGCTTGGTAGTGAATGTGGCCGATATGAGCGTCCTGAGACGTCCAAATCAACCACAACCACTACCATCATGTTCATGTCGAGGCTGATGGATCATTCCCCGAGGGCCACCTTCGCCACCGCCAGCTCCTCGCCCAATCTAAAGAAGCACAAAGCACAACCTCCCAGCAAGGGTTGTGCTTCGCTGGCGTGCCTGGAGCGCTTTCGCCGCTGCCGCCGCCGCTGCCACTCCGTCGCGAAGAGCGCGAGCTCGCGCGCACGCGCGCGCCTCGGGCGCCGAGCTCCCGGATGCGGGCCGTCGGCCGCGGGGCTTCACCTCGGGGGGGCGGCAGGGGGCTCCTCTACGGAAATGAGCGGCCGGGTGGTCGCTGCGCGAAGGGCAACGACGGGGAGGGGACATCGCAGGCTCCGGCATAAGGCGCAGGCTGGACAATCCAGGAGGTCGGCTAGTTACATGCAAGAGTGACCCTGGGTAAGAAGGACCTTTGGTGCGCGGCTTTTTTTGGGGTCGCGGGGGGACCAAACACGAACGCGCAAGCCGCTACCACCGCATCGCGTTCGGCGATCGGGGGAGGCCCAGTGGGCCCACACCAAAGATCACTCCGACGAACGGTGGTCACTCTTACGTGTAGTCGAAGGCACTCCGCCTGGCGCGAGGTCACTCTGACGAAAGGTCACTCTTACGTGTAATCGATGGCACCCCGCCTGGCGCGCGCCCGGTCAGGACGAGCAGGCCGAGAGGTACGAGAGAAACGACAAGGGGGGAAACATCGAGCCGGAATCGGCAAGACCCCGCCGACAGATCTGCGACAGACCCCGAAGAGGAAACCGCAGGGTCCTGGGCGGTGTGGGCTACACCTCGGCGGGCCGCCGCGGGGGGAGGGGGGAGGGCTCCTCTCTCGAGTGAGCGGCCTGGCGGTCGGAGCAACGGCGGCTGATCCGAACACCCCGAGGCAACCCAAGAAAGGAGGCAGGCGCGCCAAATGCGCTGGCCTCCTTGAAAGCCATATTTGCATGAAACGGGTGCGAAACTGCGAAACACTGGAGCGAATCAGCGCCACATGCGGCTTACGTATGCCTCTTGTGAATTGTGCCATAATTCAGGCAGCGTTACCATGTCGGCCCACGACTCCAACCTTTGAACGAAGCGAGTTGCTCCGAGTTGTTCAAGAAGTGTGTGTGTGTGTGTGTGTGTGCGTGTGTGTGAAAGTCCGCCACAGAAGCGCACGCAATCCCAACACAGAACATCATCCCTGGCGACAAAACGCATCCGTCCTCTTGCTGTGTGTGTGTGTGTGCGTGTGTGTGTGTGAAAGTCCGCCACAGAAGCGCACGCAATCCCAACACAGAACATCATCCCCGGCGACAAAGCGCATCCGTCCTCCTGCTGCTGCTGCTGCTGCTCTTCCGGGTGGCACTGGGCGGCAGGCCGTCTGCGGCCTGAATCTCCACCCACGAGTCCGCGGAAGACTCGCCGGCCTCGGCACGGCAGGGAAAAAGAGAAGACCCGCCTCACGGTCCGTGGCGCGCGAGGCACAGCGCAGACCCCGCGCGCACGGCATGTGCACGCCTCGCCTCCGCTGGCGGTGGCCTCTGGCACTGCTAGTAGATCGCTTAGCCCTGAACGAGCGCGGCTCTCCGATAGCGCAGAAGGCTCCATCCGTCGGCCGACTCCTGACCGCTCGCGGCGCTCCGCCTCGAACGCGCGCGCGCTGCGGCCGCCGACGCGTCCGTGCGGCACAGACCTGCCTGCCGTGCCCCGCCTGCCAGGGGCACGCGGGGCGAAACGAGAAGGGACATCACCACGAGGCGGGAGGCGCTCGGCTGGAGTTGCACACCACAAGGACCCTGCGTACATGGGCGACCACACAAAATGGTGTTATGTCCTCACTTCTGCCGGTTTCTGCGCGAATTCTCCGTCGACGGAGCCGCCCTCGCTCTAGCAGCTACGTCCAGCGGCCTCCGCGGACTCCCAGCGGGCCTCCGCTGAGGTCAAGCGCACTCGCACCCTCGACGAGGCGGCCGTCCCTTGAACGGGCCAGCTGGGCGGCGAAACGAGGATGGCGCAGTTGCGTTACGCGGTGGCTCACGCAGGCCGCTCACGCGGCCGTATATCTAAAATTGACCGTATAATCGATCCAGAACCGTATAATTGATCAGCACGCGCCAGCGGTCGCGCAAGCATCCCAGCTTTTACACGTCGCCCCATCGATGTCGTATGAGAAGCGCGGGGGGGGACCCTGCGTACGATCGCACAGCGCCCGCTCTGTCCTGCATGCACGAAGCGACAGACGACCAGCGCCAGTTGCACAGACAGCGACGCAAGGAAAGGGAGCTCAAAAGAAGGAGGACAGGAACGGCCGTGCCCTCATGATCATGCTTGCCTATCTTCCCTAATCACCTAACTTCGCACAATGCGCCCCACCATGTGCGACGCGCGATGATCTTCGCGCCCTGCCGTCCCCTTGGAGAAGGGCAACCGCTCTGGCCCAAACTGCGACGCGCGAAGCGCGATTATCTTCGCGCCGCTGCGGGAGGGTAAGCGACGGGGATTTTCTGACCCGGGTCAATCCAGGCCCGGGTTAGTCAGGCCTTGCAAAGTCCTGCAAGATCCTGCAAAATGCTGCACCCAAACCCGGGCCCGTGCGAATGATCCTGCAGGATCCTGCGAGATCCTGCACCCAAACCCGGGGCAATGCGACCCTGGCCCTGCAAGATCCTGCAAGAACCGGCGCTCTGGCTGACCCCCGTTTGCATTGACCCCCGTCTCAACGCTCCCGAAAGCGTGAAACATCCTGGGCACCGGTCGCGCGTGCAGAATTATCCCTCGTGTCTTCTCCTGCCGATGCCGCGCAGAAAACCAAGGCGCTGGGCCAGATCCTGGCCCTCCGAGCAGGAGCGGGCTGCGAAGCCCAGGCAGAGATCCCTCCTCCTCCCTCCCCCTCCCTCCTCCTCCTCCTCCTCCTCCTCCTCCTCTCTCCTCCTCCCTCCTCCTCCTCCTCCTCCTCCTCCTCCGCCTCCGCCTCCGCCTCCGCCTCCGCCTCCGCCTCCGCCTCCTCCTCGTAATTACCACGGCACGCGCGTCCACGGCAGAGCCTGTCGGGACAGCCAGAGCGGCAGTAGCAGCAGCAGCCCCAATAAGAATAACAATAACCATCTAACGGGGAGTCTAATAACGTGCACTTTGGCCAGACAACCGTCAAACGCACCCCTTGACAGCGCGTGCAGCGCTGCAGTGCCCGAAGGAGGCCCCAACGCGGCAACTTTCGGCGAGGTTCCAACGAATTTACCCGATAGTGCGTACCCATCACGGTGCCTTTTAGACGAGGACAGGCAAAGACAGGAAGTCAACGGGTGATAATCAAGCGACCCAACCAGGCTAAATTAGTTTCTGTATCGGTTTGCGTCGTGCTTGCCACGCGGAGCTGCGCGAGGGCGATGTTGTGTCGGCCGAAACTCGGGCCACGACGGACAAACGCGTTCTGCGTGCGTCTCGCGGGGTTGTCCCGTGGTTGTCGCATGGATTGTCCCGTGGTGCTTCCGCGGTTGTCCCTTGGCTGTCGCATGGTTGTCCCGTGGGTTGTCCCGTGGGTTGCCCCATAATTGTCTCGTTGGAGCTGCACGTCGAGATGCAAGTCCAATTAAAACCGACATCCAAAACAGCATGAAGTCCAAATGCAAATCCAAATGCAATCAACATGGAGATCGAGGTGCAAATAATTATCCCAGTGCGACCCTACCTAGGAGTTGGAGCCCCTAGGGAAGCAACATTAGTAGTAACAGTAAAACTAAGCTAAAGCTAAGCTAACGCTAAGCTGAAGCTAAGCTAAAGCTAAGCTAAAGCTAAGCTAACGCTAAGCTAACGCCGAGCTACAACTAAGCTAAAGCTAAGCTGAAACAAAGCTAAAACTAAGCTAAAGCTACGGTACAACTATGATACAGCTAAGGTAAAGCTGAGCTAAAGCTAAGCTAAACTTGAGCTAGAGCTAAAGCTAAGCCAACGCTAAACTAAATATAAGCTAAAGCTAAGCTACAGCTCAGCTAATGCTCAGCTAAAGCTAAGCTGAAGCTAAGCTACAGCTAAGCAAACGCTAAGCTAAAGCTAAGCTACAGCTAAGCTAAATCTAAGCTAACGCTAAGCTAAAGCTAAGCAACATCTAAACAACAGCTAAGCTAACGTTGGGATACAGCTAATCTAACGCTAAGCTAGAGCTAAGCTACAACTAAGCTGACGCTAAGCTGAAGCTAAGCCTAAGCAACAGTTAAGCAAGCACTAAGCTAAAGCTAAGCTAAAGCGAAGGTAACACTAAGCTACAACTAAGCTAAAACTAAGCTAAAGCTAAGCTACAGCTAAGCTGAAGCTAAGCCAAAGCCAAGCTAAAGCTAAGCTAAAGCTGAGCTAAAGCTAAGGCACATCTAAGCTAAAGCTAAGCTAAAGCTAAGCTAACGCTAAAGCTAAAGCTAAAGCTCCCAAGGGACTGCGGGAACCGCGGGGCGGATATTGGGGGAACCGCCCGGGGTGGGCCCCACTGCCCGGCCCTTTAAGCTTACCGAGTAAGAACCCTTCTAGGCAGAGCCTAGGTAGGGAAACAACACCATAATGAAAGCTCCCACACTGGATTACATGCCTCTCAAATGGGATCCGAGCAGATTGGGTCGGTGGATAGCGCCGCATCGCCGATGCATCGGCATGAAGAAATTCGGGCTCCACATCGAGCCGCATCGCTGATGCATCAGCGATGTGGGGTGATCCTCCGACCCCTCATACTCTGGACTCAACGAGCAGGCCTGGATCACCCCACAACCTCCATAGTTTGCACGCCCGAATTGGGTTTGAAACAAGTGGGCACGACGCCCAACATCAAATGTTATCCAAAATCCGATAGCGACCGCTTTGTCTCGAGTGGGCAGCGTCCGCGGCGGGACCGACAATGAATCTTGTTCAAAAATGGGCAGGAACTGCTGCCGGGTCGCCTTCGCTCCTACTACAACAAGGTACGGTGCACACGAATCGTCCGCAGACTATTCTTTCCGTACCCATTCCGCACGTACCAATCATCACCCGAAAGGTGGGTTTGCGAGACAACCCGTGGCCGGCGGGAACCCGAGCCACGGCGACGCGCTGCCGCCGCGCCGACCGGCGCGCAGGGGCGTGGGAGAGAGCGAGCGCCCCTGTCCGCGGCAGGCTGGCTGGCCGCACGGGCCGGAGGCAGAATTCGGAGGAGGGCCAGAACTCCTCGTCGTCGTCGTCGTCGTCGCTTGCCGGCGGCGAGTAGTAGGGGGGTGGGTTCGAAACCCCGACGCCCCCCCCCCGACACAACCGCGGCGCTCCCGGCGATCCTCCTCGTGCTCGGGCCGGAGGCGTCGCGTCGCCGGGGCTGGGCCCCGAAGACGCAAGGCAGGACAGACCACTGGGAGGCGTCCAGGGGCCGATGTTTGAGCGGATCTGGGCCGAGGATTGCAAAAAAACCAAGGATTGCAAAAAACAGTTTTTTTGCAATCCTTCGGTTTTTTTGCAATCCTTCGTTGAAGAGCCGCCCTTCCCTCAACTGGCCCTTCTCTGAGCGGTCAGGACAGATTCGGAGGAGGATGCCTCGGGGATCTCTGAGGCAGGGCTGAGCCTAAGCGGTGTTTTTCGTTTCCATGCTGTTTTCGTTTTCTTTCGTTGTGTCTTCAATCCACCTCTACCGCAGAACGAAATCGAAACCACAACGGCCCACGAAGTCGCCAAAAACACCCTTTAGGTCCAGCCCTGCTCTGAGAACTGGCGATTCGTCGGAGGGGTTCAAGAAGGGGTTTGCAAATCGTTGCCACGGGGCGCGTGCGGGGAAGTGCGGGGGCCAAGGGACGTATTGAAAGAAGGCGGGCGGAGTGGGGGGCATGGGAAGGACGGAGGGGGCGGCGTGGGGGGCATGGGCACAACCTTGCCTCTGGAGACCGAATTCTTCACCCATTCCCTGCCCCTCCCTGGACCCAGAGCGGGAGGAGTGGGGTGCACCAGGCGTACGGACACCACTTCGGTCGCCGATGGCCTGTTTCGTTTTTGCTAGATGGGGTCAGACTAGGTGGGGTCGGATCGCCGATGCATCGCCGATGCGCCAGGCACGCATCGGCGACGTCGGTGATGCATCGGCGACACATTCAGCTCCACATCGAGTCGACTCGGGGATGCATCGGCGATGCGGCGCGATCCTCCGACCCCATCTGCTCGAAGCGTTCTGCGAGGCCTGAACGTTCAACGTGAGGTGCCTTCTCGCGCCGAGAAAGGCCGCTTACCAATGAGGGAGCGGGAGGGAAGAGACAGGGGAGAGCGGCCAGCTCGGCCCCGCCTCGGATGGTGCCGCCAGTGCCGTCCACGACGATGGAAGAGTGGACACCGAAGACGCACTGCTGACCTGGCGCGGTCGAACTGGAGGGCGTCTCTTGTCCCTCGACCTCGTCATTCCAGTCGTACACCCTGCGAAATGCTTAAGAAATCATGGGTTAAGAAATTCATAGTCTCAGAAATTCCATAAAAACGCAGAACTTCTATCAAAATATTGGGATTTGCATTGAAGAGTTAAGAATAATCGAGACTCTGGACGAAAACTTAGGTTTTCTTAAGCATCGCCTAAGATGTAGTCTCGAGTGCCAACCAAGAAGCTCCAGAAGGGCAGAGTGTGTGCACTCCGGGGTTCCCAATGATGCTGCAACCTCCGCCGATCCTGTCGGCGTGTTCGAGAGGCTTTTTCCGTTTGAGTCGTCGTCCTCGCGGTCGTTGTCGCAGTCACCGCCCCCGCTGTCCCTGTCCGCGGGCTCTCTTCTTCCGACGCCCCGGCCAGCGAGAAATCAAACAACGTCGTAATCGAGTCGAAGGGAAGCCCCCTCCCTTTGATCCCTTCCCCGCGGGGGGTGGTCCCAGGGGGGGGTGACCCCCCCCTCGTTCGTGAGGGGGCACCCTTCCATGGGAGAAACCCTCCCCTTCGATTCCTTGCCTCCCAGACGCTTCGGGCTCCGCCTTCAGGGTCGGCGGCGCCCGCCGTAAGGCTTTCACTAAAATCCCACCAGCCATGTCGGCGTAGGTGGTCTGGAGAGCTTTCTCTTCCAGTTCCCTTCGGGGAGGGGTTTACCCCTACACCTTACCCCCTCTTCTGGACCTGGACGGGGGTGGTCGCGGGGGGTTGGAGCATCCAAGATGGCCGAAGACGGCTCCCAAAGCGGCTAAGAGAGCCCAAGGTGACCTCCAAGATGGCTCACGATAGCGAAAAATCGCTCGAGATGGCTTCCAAGATGCTCCAAGAGGCCCAGAGACCGACCCGAGACGGCTCCAAGTGGCCAAAGAGCTCCCCTAGGAAGTCCCGAAGAGGCCAAACTCCTTCCAAAACATGACAATTCAATGCTGTTTGCTTTCTCGCTTCTGGCTCTTCTGCTCGCCCTCCTCCTCCTCCTCCTCCTCATCCGCCTGTTCCTCCTCCTCCCTCCTCCCTCCTCCCTCTCCCCCGCCTCCTCCTCCTCCGCCCCTTCCTCCTCCTCCTCCTCATCTTTCTCATGCTCCTCCCTGTCCTCCTCCTCCTCCTCCTCACCCTCCGCCTCCTCATCCATCCTCCCCCTCTTGGGGCATGACGGCTTCCCCAGCCACGTATTCCACTGCATGCTCCTCCAGATCCCCCATCAGGTCAACTCGCCTGGGCATCGTTTCTGGATGCCCCCAATACGCGACGCCCAACGTGGGCGCCCAGGGCGCTGGCCGGGATTTCCATATTTTCGCTGGTTCCTGGCCGTGGGAACCTTGAAGGCGCCAGGTGGGATTTTCGGCTGCAGCCCGTTCGTGGGCACCTCGGGTGCAGCACATAGCTGACACCTCATAGCTTGCACTACATCGAATGCACCACACAGCTTGCACCACATAGGTTGCACCGTGTGGCGTGCACCACGTGGCGTGCACCAAATAGCTTGCACCATATAGCCTGCACCACGTTGCTTGCAACACACAGCTTTCACCACGTGCAGTGGAGCCACGACCAGAAAACAAATAAATGAGACACAAACTGTTATTTTGACCACAAGCGCCTGGGTGCACCTGCAGCGCCAGAGGAACAATCGCGGAAGGACCCAGCGAACTTCGAAACCTTTCCTGTCTTCACTGCAGCTTGCACATTCACAGTGCAAGAAATTACTGCTCTGGGTCCGCGCAGGTTGTAATATAGTCCTTAACCGGATCCTATCAGGGTGGGAACCACCTGAAAAAGAACCAGATGGGGGATGGAGCCACCTCAAGTATACATCAGACTCGGGATGTGCTCATCGCTAATAGAATCCTAATTGAGGTGGATCCACCTCTTACATAATCCTAATCAGGATGGAGGAATCCGTAATACAATCATATCAAGGCAGAACCCATTTCTAATATAATCTCATTAAGGGGTGGATCCATCTCTACTGGAATCCTGTTAACAATCTTTGGGTCCGATGACAAAGAGGCAAAACTATACTTCTATCTCGTCCGTCTTCGTTGCCCCCCCCACAGGGTCCTGGCGGGTCCGGGGGGGGTCCCCAAGGGGGGCAAAGGGTCGCCAGCGAGGGTCCTGGAGGAGGTCCCGCCTTCCGGGTCGGCGGCACCTGCCGTAAGGCCCTCGCGAATCAACTTTCAAATCTCTTCGCGCAGCGTGGCCCACCCCTTCGGGGCCCTCCGATGCCAGCGTTGGCGGAAGGCTCGCCTCGGCAAACGGCCCCGCGGGCCCGTCAGCGCCGTCGATGGCCCCTTCGGGGACCTGTTCTGCGAGTCCGTTGGTGGAGCTGATACTTCTCTCGCCACCTCCTGAGTGATGTGCCCTGGGTGTTCGCGACGGCCGCCAAGGGCGCGGGCGCCCGATCGACGACCAAGAAAGACCCCCAAACAGTTTACACCCCTCGAACGCGACATGGGGTCGAAATCACACCTGGGGCCCCGTGGGGGTCAGAAACAAGATTTACACCCAGAAGAAACGCAACAGTCACGCAAAACCTTCGTGCTCCCGAGACCTGCCCGACCCCGATGGATCAAGGCCCGCGCCGCTTGGCGGGGTCAGAAACAAAATTTACACCCAGAAGAAACGCAACAGTCGCGCAAAACCTTCGTGCTCCCGAGACCTGCCCGACCCCGATCGGGGATCTTCTGACCCGGGTCAATCCAGACCCGGGTCAGCCAGGCCTTGCAGAATCCTGCAAAATCCTGCCAGACCCTGCACCCAAACCCGGGTCAATGCGAAGGATCCTGCAGGATCCTGCAGGATCCTGCACCCAAACCCGGGTCAATGCGACCCTGGCGCTGCAGGATCCTGCAAGATCTGGCGCTCTGGCTGACCCCCGTCTGCACTGACCCCCGTCTCGAGGCTCCCGACCCGATGGATCAAGGCCCGCGCCGCTTGGCGCCTCTCAAGCTCCACGCGGGTCGGGGGCGACTTTTTGGCAGACGCTTCGATGGCCGACGTGCGGCGCCACACCGAGTTGGTGGAATTTTTGTTCGAAGGGGGTCTGGCACACAGATCAAACAGTTTATTTGTGTACTGCCGTTTGTCACTGGAAGGAGGGGAGGAGCAGGAGGAGGAGGAGGAGGAAGAGGAGGGGAGGATTGGGATGATGGGGAGGAGTAGGGGGAGGAGGGGGAGGGGGGGGGGGCGGAGGAGGAGGAGAAGGCGGAGGAGGAGGAGGAGGAGGAGGAGGAGGAGGAGGAGGAAGAATAATAAGAACAACAGGTAGGGGAAACGGAGGAGGGGGAGGGGAGGGGGGAGGGGGAGAGGGAGGGTGAGTGTGAGTGTGAGTGTGAGGGTACGGGTGAGGAGGAGGAGGAGGAGGAGGAGGAGGAGAAGGAGGAGGAGGAGGAGGATGAGAGAAGTAGAAGAGAGGAAGAGGAGGAGAGGAGGAAAACGAGGGGGGCCCCACTCCGCCCAAGGTCGCGCGCGCAGAGCGGGGGGTCCCGCCTGCCGGGGCAGCTCCCCGTCGGACAACAGCTCCCAGCTCAAGGCGCTGGCCTGTGACCCGCCCTGTGTAAAGTCCCAGCGAGTGAGCGACGAGCAAAAAGGTCTTGCGCGAACGGGCACGACGACCTTACGCAGTGGCTTACGCAGGCCGCCAGCGCGGCCCGCTACATTGGAGACGAAGGCGCTTACGCGCGACCTTGCGCGGGCAGCTTACGCGCCAGTGCCGGCGTAAACGATCCCGTGCTTCTTGCGTCGCTCAAGTGACCATGCACGCGCGCAGCCAGGCGCCCAAACGGGCCATAGGCAGGACATATCACTCCAACGAACAAGGAAGCAGACACGCCAACAAAGTGCTGGTGCGAGGGGGGGAGGAGGAGACGAAACAAGGGGAGGAGGAAACGGACGAGGGAGGAGCACACAGAAACAAATGCCCTCGCCTTCGCCTCGATGTTCGAATCGAATTGTTGGCAGTTGCGGAACCTCCGAGGGGGAAAGGAGGACTGCGGGGATCTCCAGGGACACGAGACCTCCAGAGTCCCCAGGGGACCTGTGGGAATCTCGACCGAAGACGAAGGCAATATGAACATAGCACGAGGATGAATCCAGCCGAGGCTGCCGTTTCGGAGCGCTCTGGACCGCCATGAAAGCGTTCCAAAACGCTCGGGAACGAGTCGCCTCCATCGCAAGCCAAAAGGCCGCCCATATTGGACAGGGGCAGGGGATCGGAGCATGGCGCCGCATCGGTGATGCAATGCATCGGCAGCTTGGGGGTGGATGGAGAAACTCAGGCTCCGGATCGCAACAAAAACGCAGGGGGTCTGGTCTCGTCGTCGTCGTCGTCATCGTCTTCGTCGTCCCCCTCCTCCTCCTTCTCCTCCTCCTCAGAGCCAGGACTAACAGGACGATTTTTGACATCAAGCGACACAAAACACACAACACACAAAATTAAAAGAAATCTCCGTTTAGCTCTCTGGCTCCCTGAGAGCCCAGGGCCCGACCTCGACTGTGACAAGGTCGCGCTTGGGATGACGGCCAGAGGCTATGCGATTCCAGTAGTGCATCCTACCCTGGGCCCCATTTCGGGGGCTGGGGTGGCAGTCCTGGCGGAGACCTCGCACTTGTCCTCTGCTAGTGTAACGCGTACAGCGGAGGCAAACAAAAATGAAATAATAATCACTGGCATCCAAGAAAAACATCGAGTGTCCCAGCTCCAACACGTTGGGAGCGTCGAAGCCTCGGATCCCGACCCCAGGACCACGTCGGCAAACACCAGGAGAAGGGCGGAGGGCGGCCCTGCACCCGCGGAAACAACGCTCACATTGCCAGAACTTGCCCTGCCAACTCCATACATGACCGTGTACTGCATACTTTGCTGGAACGGTCTCGTTGACAATTACAGCTCGCGACAGACGAAGCCTCTGCCAGAGCGGAAGCAACTTTCCCGCCAGCTTGCAGGCAAGCTTGGACATTCGCAGCTGGCGGGCAAGTTTATCGCATTCTTTAACGTCGGGGGTGGATGTCTGGATGCGGCTCTCTTGGCCAAGGCATCCGCTGCATCGTTACCTAGCTTGTAATGCGTCAAATCTTCCGACATCTCAGGGTCCTCTGGAGCGTGCCCGTCGACTTTCGTGACTCAGACTAGTCCCGTAGGCAGCGCGGTGAGAAAACTGCCGCTGCACGGTCTCTTGCACGACAACTGCTCTTTGTCCGGCAAAGAAAACTGGCGGACCACAGTCTGACACTCCGAAAAACCTCTGGAATCAGGAATAGCGAATTGCCCAGCAGCACAGATAACTAAACATTTGGCAGCCTGGGGCGTCTGGGGGTTCGGGGCCTAGACAGGGGCCGGCGCGTGGCCAATAACATGTCGATCGGAGTCGTAGCATATTAACCCCCATCCCTCCCTGGACAGCTCGGGAAACACATGCCTGTAACAACGGCCGTCGACATGGAAATCGCCCGGAGCTCTGAATCCGTCGATGCCCACCACCTCAAGTCGATGTCGGACAAAGTCGGGCGTTTATCTCAGAGCTTCGCAAGGATATCTTCGCGCTCCTCTTCTCGCGAAGGGCAGACATAGTCCGTGCGCCGGCGTGTTTGGGGCAGCTCTGCGCAGCGCACATAAAAGATCGCCTTGCTGGCAGCCTTTCTCCTCGGCAACCTGCTTCGTCCATGTGCCCCCGTAGCGCGCGGCTTCGATGCAGCCTTTTCGCAGAGGGGTGAAGCCGGGCGAATTTAGCTGAGCCCTGACCTGGTCGCAGCGCAGCCGCCGCGCTTCCGGCGATGAGCTCGACGCGCTGGACCTCTCCAGCGTCCTCAACATAGCAGCGTGCAGGGCTCGCTTGATGATGGCTGGGCTGTAGAAAGTCACCTGGGCAACGACTCCGAAATCGTCTATCAGCTCTGCGAAAGAACGCATGCGCCAACCTATCCTCTGGAGGGGCGACTTCGTGGCTGACAGTGGCCCCGAAACCCTTCTCAAGGTACCTGCATCTGGGTTGCCTTCGATCACCTCCTGCCAACCTTCCCGGAGCTCCTGGGAAGACAAACAGAAAGGGCACGAGCGAGTCAAGGCCGCCCAGACTTCCTTGGAGTAGCGAGCGACAGGACTTACAGCGGCGTACCAGACAGGGCCCCTCTCCAGGACGAGGAGGGAGGTGAGGGATTTGCGCCCTGCGCTCGGCTGGCAGGTCGCGCCACAAGACCCCCATGCCGCCTCGAGCGCGCGGTTCGAACAACCTCGCACTTCACTCCCGTAGACCAGCCCAGGCAGCGGCCCAGAGGCAAACATCATTTTCGTGAAACGACCCATTTTGTTTTTGTTATATATATACATGTATACATATATATATATATATATGTGTATATTTACATACACGTATACATACATATATCTACATATATATATATATATACAGACGCCGGACTTTCTTCTTGAGCGTTCTGAGAGGGACCTGGGACCTGGAACTTCTTCGATCCCCCACCTGATCTAAGAGCGCGGCCGCGGGCATGTTCGATGCCTGGGTTCGTCGCAGATGCGCGCGCTCCGCCTGCTAGGCCCCCCCAGCTCGGCCCGGGTCCGCGCGGCAAGTTGAGGGGGGGAGGCAACCAAACATGCCTTCTCCATTGAGACCGGCGCGCGCATGTTATTCATAAGGATTTCGCGTATGATGTACGAGCCCTTGACTATGCCCTTATGCGCGTGCGAGTCGCTCCCCGCAGCACTGATCCGATAATCATCGGTGCACGCGCCCAGCCTACGGTTGCGAGGAAGCGGGGCCGTAATAGCCATACAGAACAACCAGCTATATCCCCATTACTAGCATAGCAAGGCCCAGTAACTAGGCCCCCCATGGGCCGAGCTCGGGGACAACGGAAAAACATGCGACAGCCAGACGGGCGATGGGCAGGGGAAACCAAACATCAGAGCACCTCTGTAATCGTGCATCTAACAGGACGAGCTCGTAACATGTGAATGAATCCCACAGGGGCGCAGCAGCGGCGCCCCCCGACAAATTCGCAAACTCCGCCCTGAAGGCCCGGCGCCGTGCCGCGTCGGATGCCGATGCGAAGCTGCTGCCCGCAGAGTCGTCTCTCGCGGAAGCGGCCCCCCACTTGGATGCGAGACCCCCGCGGCAGCGCCCCCAGAGGCGGTGGCAAGATGCAAAGATGGCTATCGGTCGGAACCCGCCCGCCGATTTGGCCAGAAGGGCCGTCGAAATCACTTGCAGCTGCTTCGGCGCAAGACCTGACCTCTCCAGAATCGTGAACATCAAGCTGAGCACCTCAAGGCACTGGTCGCCCAACGAAGCGTAGTGGCACATATGAAAACCATCTGCAGGAGGTCGCCGCGTGCTCCGCGTAGGTTCTGCTAGCGCACAGAAACTCCTCGGCTGACGCACTCGGGAAAAGGCTCAAGCGGCTGGGGCGTGCCAGGCAACTGCGGCGCGTCCGGGCAAGCCTGTCAGAAGCAAGAAAAACGTGCGGCCTCGGACTCGAGGAGGGAGAGGGGATCTGCACATGCGTTCCCATATCCCTCGACAATGTAGTGATTGGTCTCCATGGTTCCGCACCCCTTATGATAGCATGCGCTGTCCGCTTTCCCTTATCGATCTAGGATGAAGCGTCTCCAGTCCTGGGCCGAACGAATCCTACCAGCAATGATTGCTTATTGCAGCGCCTCGTCCATTCTAGTCGGCAGGGCGACCCCTGCCTTCCAGTTAAATGCTGGTCCAGATATAACAAATATGTGGGCCTCAGTAAACCACTTCCTGAATTTCCCGGGGTGCTTTTGAACGTCTCCTGGAGGGCCCCTGGGCAGGTTGCCGAGGTCCCCGAGATGCTGCGAGTCAGGCCCGGGCGCTGCAATCGCCAGGAAAAATCGAAACTTGTCGACCGCCCACTTGGCTGCGCATGCGGGGCCTGCTTCGTCGCCGGGCTTGTCGGGCTCAATGAGAGCCGCCCAGTGCAGGGCTGGGAGCTTGCCCCGAGCACCGAGACACGGAAGAGTAGTTTGCCTGGCTTGCACCAGCTCCTGCTCTGCAGTGTTGGCCCGCGCTCGGCGCAGCGCTGTGGGACCATCTGATACTGGCAAAGAACGGCCTTCGTCTACGAGCGTCGCCCCCCCTTCTCGCTTGCTCCGCGACGCCGCCGCACTGCGGAGGAGGGGGGGGGGGCGAGGGCCGAAAACTTTACGCGCGGGCAGGGGGGGGGGGGGGGGCGGTCCGCGAAAAGTGAGCCCTTTCAACGAGGCCGGCTTGCTGCGAAAACTCATGCAAACAAGCCTGTGCGGCGAAATTCATGACGCGCGAGCAGCTGGGACATCCTCGTGTTTTCTCGAGGCCCCCCGTGACCAAGACAGAATCGTAAAGCTCCAGACCTCCAGTTTGCAGACGGGCTCCGATCACGCGGCCAGGGACAACGATTTTGCCCCGAGCCTATCCATCGCACCTGACTTCTTGAAATCGTCTGGAGACGCGTTGACATTCGCCCCCGCCGCCGTCGGCTGCCTAGCCATCTCGATGACAGAAGCGACCCTACCTATGATGTCG